TTGCAGTGTGTGACTGTTTAATTGGACAATGAATGTTTGTTCCTCAGTGTTTAGTCTTTCTGGCTGCAGCAGAAATTCAGCCACACTGCTTGAACAACCGGATAAACTACTCAAATAATGAAATCCCAAGAAGCAAAAATCTAAAGGTAAACTCTGTGGTCATTTTGTAATCTTAAACCTATTGTATCAGTTAGATTGCAGTTATATATCTGACTTGACCTGGTGAGTTCTGATTCAAACAGAACAACTCTGACACGCGCCCCGAGCAGCTCCCCACCTTTGAGTTTCCACACGTGTCTGGCAGTTTGAAACGGATGAAGAGAGAGTGGGTCATTCCACCAATTAACTTTCCAGAGAATGACAAGGGTCCATATCCCAAATTCATGGTGAAGGTAACCACACTAGTATAAATCAAATTAAATTGATTTGAATATACTTTCACTAAATGTGTTTGCTGTGGCTAACGTTTCCTTTATTGAAATATCTGTGTTATCGTGCTTTAGATCAAGTCAAACAACGACAAAAAGGTGGCGATAACCTACAAGATCACTGGACCAGGTGCTGATCGGCCCCCTGAGGGTCTTTTTACTGTTGATCGGCGATCTGGGGTGCTGTATGTGACCGAGCCACTGGACAGGGAGAAAACAGCGAAGTACACTGTGAGCTGAGAAAAAGAAGCCTCATCTCATGTTTTATACTCAGTAATTGTGTATAAGGATGAAGACACAGCTATGTTAGAAAATACAGTGTGTGGTGTGTGTTACAGCTGTTGGCCCATGCACTGATTGAGGGCACTCAGGCTGAGGAGCCCATGGAGCTCATTATCAACGTCATTGACCAGAATGACAATGCTCCAGAATTCACTGAGAACCCTTTCTTTGGTGGAGTGAGTGAAAGCGCTGAGATTGGTGAGAGAGGGATTCAGAAAACTTTATTTTACTCCCTGAAATGTGAGTTTCCAGTCCTTATATTCACTGTGATATGGATTTTTTTCAACAGGTGACTCCATCATAAAGGTAACAGCAGTGGATAAAGATGACCCACGGACGGACAATGCTATAATAAGGTATAGGATAATGGCTCAGATGCCTCAAATGCCCAAAGAGGACATGTTTACCATAAACCCTGTGAGTGGAATGATCAGTGTGAGGGCAGATGGACTGGACAGAGAGGTATATATAATATACAGTGAGAACATGGCTCTTCTCTTTCCAAGACTTTCTCTTTCATCTTTTACATTGTAACTCACCTCCCTGTGTTAGACTCAGCCAGAGTACAAGCTGACCATTCAGGTCGCTGATATGGAGGGGGAGGGCCTCACAGACACCTGCACGGCTATCATTAGTGTTATTGACAGCAACGACAACACTCCACTCTTCACCCTCACATCTGTGAGTTAAAAATGTCCAAATACTTTACAATCATGATGAAATAAGTTTAATCTGTAAATGCCTTCAGCAAAGGTTATTGCTTTTCCCAGATATCCACATCAGTCCCTGAGAATGAGGTTGGAGTGGAGGTAGTAAGACTAAAGGTCACTGACAAGGATGAGTTAGGATCTCCGAGTGCCAACACCAAATACTCAATCATCAAAGGCGACGAGCGGGGAGACTTCAACATCACCACAGGCTCTAATAAAATGGAAGGAATCCTCAAAACAGCCAAGGTTGGGAAACATCTGTCAATTTTTATTGCATGTCTTTGGTGTCTTATTCATTACGCACAGTACATAATGTTTGCTCTCTACATTCTTCCAAGGAGCTGGATTTTGAGAGCATTCCTGTCTTTACTCTGGTGGTGGTGGTGACAAATGAGGTGCCGTTTACTGGACCGGTGTCAACCTCGACAGCCACAGTCACAGTAACAGTTGTGGACAAGAACGAGCCTCCTGCTTTCATTCCAGCAAGGATCCATGTAAGCATCTCAGAAGATGCGGCGGTAGGGAGTTCTGTGGCTAACCTCAGAGCTAAGGACCCAGACACAGACAGGAAACAGAGCGTTAGGTAATTTTTACTCACACATACATAGTATTTGCATGCGGCCGCAGTATGTACAGTATGTAGTGTATATATGCATGTACACTATTCTGTTTTAACTATAATCAGGTTTTTTCTTTTGCTTTCAGATATGAACTACACAATGACACTGTCAGGTGGCTCAGTATTGATAATGACACAGGATTAGTCAAAGTTAGCAGCAGCATGGACAGAGAGTCACATTATGTCAGAGACAGCAAATATACAATCCTAGTTTTGGCTTATGACAATGGTAAATGTACACACCGTCACAGCCTTCATCCCAATTTGCCAATTTTTGTCCCTACCAAACCAATAACCCTGCAGTGTCCTTCTCTCTTTATCCTCCTAGATGCTCTCCCAGCTACCGGGACAGGTACTCTGGTTGTGAGTTTACTTGATGTGAATGACCATCTCCCTGTGATCAAGCAGAGGAAAGCCAGCCTCTGCAATATTGACCCCTATCCTGCCCAGCTTGGTATAGTGGACCTTGATGGACCAGGTCATGCTGGACCATTTACTGTGGAGCTTCAAGGAGAGCACAGGATCAACTGGACTATTAGCACCAATTCCACAAGTAAGACAGCTTATTAACAGCATACATACTCATCACTGCACACATAAAAGAAAGACTCCAAAAGTATTAATTGTGCATCCCCCCCCCTGCAGGCAATGTGGCAGCCCTGGCTCCAAAACGGGAGTTATCACCTGGGGACTATTATGTGCTGATGCGTATCTATGATGTTGAAATGCTCTACCAAGACAGCACATTAGAAGTAGAAGTGTGTCAGTGTCAAGGGGCTGTCTCAAGCTGCTTTATCCCACGTTCTGCACCTCGTCTGCTCATTCCTTCTCTCGCAACCTCAGTTCTGGGAGCAATTTTAGCTTTTCTGTGTATGTATCAGGTCTTTCTTATTCTCCCGACTGACCTAAATTTGCTTTGGTTTGCGTGATCTGTCTTTATTTTTTTTTCTGTTGACCTCAGTACTGCTCTTGCTGCTGATGTTGTTTCTGAGAAGGAGGAAGCCATCGGAGAAGGGTCTCCCTTTTCTTGAAGACGTACACAGGGAGAACATCTTCTACTACAATGAGGAGGGAGGAGGCGAAGAGGACAGGGTAGGAGCAGGAGGTTTTAATGCAGTTGGTATTACAAGACATCTGCTTTGTCAGATTGCATTGCATTGGATTATATGAATATTCTATCTGTCTAAAAGTGACAGGAATGGATGTAGTAAGGGCCTCACTTTATACTCTCATCACTACTCTTTAGGATTATGACCTGAGCCAGCTCCACAGAGGGCTTGATAACCGTCCGGAAGTCTTCTGCACTGATGTGTTTCCTACTGTCCAGAGCCGCCCAAGCTACCGCCGACAACTCCAAACCAATGAAGAAATTGGGAAATTCCTTGAGGATGTGAGTGATGTTGAATTTTATACTTAAGATACCTATATAGTAATTTTACAATACTATCTCTGGTTTGTGAGTCTACAATTATGTTTCCTTGGTTTCCCTTGTAGAACCTGCACGTTGCAGACAGTGACCCCCTAGCTCCTCCTTATGACTGTCTTCTGGTGTTTGACTATGAGGGCGTCGGCTCAGAGGCGGTTTCTCTCAGTTCCATCAACTCCTCAGACTCAGATGAGGACCAGGACTTTCAGGATCACTGTTTTAGCAAGTTGGCTGACCTTTACGCAGGCAGTATAGAGGACGACGATGACACAGAAACACTGCCTGGAAAAACAGAATGGGTCTGACATGTCACTATTTATAGGTCCTCCAAATGTGTGTCCATCTGCCCAGGGTCCTCAGTGCTGGGTGTCCTCTTTATGCTGCCATCTGTGCCTTTTCTTAGACTGCTTTGTGGTCTGAGATGGGAGATGCTTGTGCTCTCTTCGTGTGTCATTCTTAGCTTTCCACATATGATTGTCTACATGATGTAATATTACACTTCTTATATGCCAAAAATATGATATATAAATAAATAAAAGTAAACATGATTTTCCTTTTGAACAGCTTCAGTCACTAATGTTATTGTAATTGTAATTTTTGACTTACTTATTTTTTTACATGAAAAAAGTGGACGATAGTTGAAGGGATGGAGTTGGGTACTGTGTTTATAGCATGCAGCTGCATTGGCAGGCCTGTGATGATGCTCATGTGGCACTAGCATTAAATTCCACCTCAGCATGTGTGAAGAAATGAATGAATAAGTTTTGAGTGATGCAGTGATATTAAAATGTGAAAAAATGTTCCAAGACTGGTGCACTCCCATTAAACACTCAATGAAACACTCTTAGTACAACTGGCAAGACTACTCCTCTTATCAGCAGCATATTTCAAAAGCTCGATCATAGGTCTCGCTCATATTTAAAATTCCAGTACCTCTTTCTATTGCTACATAAGCCGATTAGACACCGAATTATATATAGTATATGAATGGCTCTGATAGTCTCTCTCTCTCTCTCTCTCTTTTCTCTCTTTCTCTCTCTCTCTCTCTCTCTCTTCTCTCTCTCTCTCTCTCTCTTTACATGCTTTTATATGATATCTTTATCCTATTATGTTTGTCCTCATTATGTCTTTGTGTTTTTATTTTGTGGTCTCTCTTATATTTTCTGAGATTATGTTTTTTTAGTTGCATTTTATTTGATTGTTAAAAACCTTTTCAGTGTGTTTAAATGTTGCTTTTTTATTTCTATTTATTTCTTTATTACTTCTTTGTAAGTATTATGGTTCTTGTACTATCTGAATTTGAGAGTTAGGGTGCAGGAGGAGTGTTATTTTGCTAATGGAGTATATAGGTATAATCTCAGTCTGACTCTAAAACGAAACCTGTCCTTTGATGCTAAGAAGTAAGTAAGCAAACTGATAAGATCTTCAGTCATGACCAATGATCTTCCTGAATCACTCCCTCAACAGTGGACTTTAACCATTCATTATCATCCAACTCAAGTGAACCTTGACCCTCTGGATCTAGCGTGCTACACCGAGGGATAACAGCGGCAGTGAGAAAAAACTTTAAATGTTTCCTATTTCAGTTAAATGACATTTGTTAATATGAGGGCCTGTGGATAAATGAGTTAAAGCTTTACAACATTTGGGCAAGGTAAGTGGTCACAGAGTCAAATCAGGTGTGACATCTGAATCAAATGTGTGTGTGTTTGTGTGTGTGTGTGTGTGTGTGTGTGTACAATGTATGGGTAGGGCTTTTTCAACATCCATTTTGTTTTCCTACAAGTTACTGTTTTCACCCAAAACAGATGACGCAGAACATGTTTCAGGAGGGGCTGTACCAGGTGTTTTTTAAAGAGACACCCACAACCCGCCCACTGACCCAGGTTACCAATCAGGGGGAGCTAGTCAATGGCAGGATTCAGCGTTGGTTTGGGGCTGTAGTGAACACCAGACTGTTAGTCGCTGGGGTGAGATACTACTTTCTTGTGCTTGTCCAAACATTTGGTTAATGTAGTTTTTTAAGCTCTCTGTTTGCCGGATTCATTTCACATGTTTCCCCTTAGGTGGTGCAGATCCTCAGTGCCTTAGCTTGCATACTAACCACAGTCATTCATGCATGTGTGAGCTACAACTGCTCTGTCTCCATGACAACACCAGTGTGGTCAAGCCTATTTGTGAGTCCACATCTGCTTCGACTGATATACACTCTGCAAATCTACTGAGTAAGAGAGAGGGTCAAATACTGGGTCATAACTGTTTGTGTTGTTACAGTATGCGGCTGCTGGGTGTCTGGTAGTGGAGGTGCAGAGGAAAGCCAGTAAATTAAAGGTAAATACTTAATGAGTAACTGAGTAATCATTTCTAATGCGACCTTTTTGCTTGTTTTCTCATGCCTCACCTAATTTTTCACTTAACAGATTATCTCATTGATGGTTCTGAACGTCTTTACTCTACTGTTGGGTTTCTCTGCTCTCCTGGCCAATAGCCTCAGGTCTACACATCCTGTCGCACTCAACACAAACCAACAGGTGTGCAATTCTATAGATACTATTTACATTCATTTATATCATAAAGATTGTGTTAAGATGTTTCTGTTTGCCTTTCAAGAGATCCACCAATACAAGCTGGGCAACACTTTTCTAACTATTATGAAAAGCTTGTTTCAAATTCTAGCTTTATGTCCTGAAAGTGTAGAAATAAACGCCCTCTGAGCTCTGATGGAAGTGTTCTCCTAACTCTCTCTCTCCACTGACTTCTTCTCACTAGCGTGTTGGTTCATATGTTGCAAAGGGGAGCTCCATAGCATTTACTGTTCAGTGTTTTCTGGCATCAGTCTACATTCTTTTCCTGTCGGGGAGAGGCCTACGTCGCTACAGTCAGCCCCATATTCAGGCCTACAGCCGCCTCTCACAGGTAAATCTAATAGGACAGGTCATGATTAATGACTGGTTTACCATTAACTTAGGCGCTTTGGTCATTTCCAGTTCAATGGAATACTTTTTTGAATAGTCAGGAATACTGTTTAACTCTGTCGTTTGATTTAGCTGATGTTTTTGTGTACTTTGCTGTCTTTTGGGCAGGATCCGGACGGGCCTCTACTGGAACAAGGGGAATTCAGTCTGTGAAACTGAAAGACTTGAAATGACACTCCTGTTTTGTAAACTCAAGTTACTGTTGTTGATCAGGGTCTGTATGGTTGGTATGAATAGCTTATACAATCCTGATTGTGGAAATTGTTTTCGTTATTGTGAAATTATATGTCACCTGACTAATGGCTCAGTATCGCTTCTCCTTTGGGATCCCCAAAAACTTTCCAACAGCAAAGTTAAAACCTAAAAATGAAAAACAGCTTGTTAAACAAGTAATGGTGTATACAACACACAGCAATGATTTATTAAATTGTATTAAACCCTAACTGAAAATATATGCATATTTTTTGAGTTGAGCAATCTCACTGCTCTGTGGTGAACACTAGAGGGCAGCATTGCCAGTGATTTGACATGTTGTACAGGCTCATCCACAAATCAACATATTCTGTTTAGTGCAAGAACAGAGAATGCACTTTAGTTGCAACAATTTGAATCAGGATGAGACATAAAACATACTGAAGAGACTTCTGGTTAGGCATTGCTATGAGGATATACAGTATATTGTACATCATGTGTGGCATGTATATATATGTAAGTGTGGTTGAAATGTCGGTAAAGCTGGATGTGTGGTCATCTTCTCTTCAGAATATAAACATTGTCAGGGAGGAGGCCACTTGTTGTGAAACAGTATGATGTGTGGATTGTGAATTCACTGTTTTAATCTATGATCACTGAGTGTAAATAGTATGTTTTAATATGTTTGCATTGATCTCTTCAAATCTCCAACTTATCCAAATTTCACAACAATTACCTTAACGTTAATTATAACCTCAACCCAACTATAGCACTAACCTTAACCCTAAAACCATGTGTACACCCCCTAAATTTGTCACTTTAAAGACATAATAAAATGTCATAATGTTGCAAAAATGTCTTCACTTTTATGGTCCAAAACTCAATTTGGTCCTCACAAAGATAGATGTCCAAGAGTACACAGAGTCAAGACACGGTGAAGGATGTGGTGTGTTTGAGTATTTAAATGATGGAAGATTTCATTAAGAATATAAAGCAAGGTCATACACTCATATAGCAAGCACACACACACACACATAAACAGACTTGTGTGAGTGAAAAAAAATCACAGAGGAGCTAGTTTCTCACGGCATGTCTGGCTAACAGTTTCCAGCTGTTGCCTGGTTGAGAGAGCTGCTATGGGAACACACCAAGTACAAAGAGTAACATGGGATTCATTAGTAAATGGACACAGAAGGAGGATAAAAGAAAGCAGGATGACGAGGTTGGGTGTCCTCACAGAAACTGACAACTAATTCCTCTGGTAGAAACAATGTTTCTATGTGGTTAAGTATTACAACTACTGTTTGTGTGCGTTTGTAGTCTTGTGTAGCATGATGTGAGGGTACATGTTTAAGTTGCACAAACAATTTATTTGCTCAGATGTCTGCATCTCCTGCCAGTACTTTTCATGTTGCATTTACATGAAGAGAAACTGTTGCGTGATCTGAGTTAGCAGCCAACCATGTGACATAGTGGCACGCAAATCAGAAAAAGCGGCAAAATATGTGGGGGAAAAAAAAAACCCTGTGTCTAGATGCATCTGCGCAGCTGTTTCATCTTGTACTCTGCATGGGTGATGAGTAATATCTTTTATCTTTGGAGTGTATCTTCCTTTTGAATCCACAGGAAATCCTCTCTCTCCTTCTCTCATAGGCCAGAGTGTTAAACGGGAAGCGACTGAGGCCTGGATGTGATGACAGGAGAGTGAGTGTGTCCGGAGGAGTGGAAGTGGTGACTACATGTGGGGATTCCCTTTGATAAGTCTGACTGTTACTCTGACCTTTCAGCAGAATGACCTGGAGGGATTTGATCTAAGCCACCTGGGAGCAAGTGAATGACCAAATAACTTAAGGAAGAGAGAAAAAAAAAAAAGGACAAACGCATAATCTTGAGAACATTCATCAATAATTTATTTTTCTTACTCTGAAGAACCACCACGGCTTTCTCATCTTGAAAATTCATCATCAATTTCCAACAACACAGTTTTGAAAAATGTAAAGTTACTATACAAATTTTTAATAGAAAAAAGAATAAATTAACTGTGGAATTCTGTTTTTTTTTTATCAATTCCACATTTTTTCTACAACACCTTAAATTTATTGTTACAGTTGAACTGAACTGATAAAATCAAGTTACATGCTCTATTGTCTGGTAGGGGAAGTGTTCTACTATTAAACTGTCTGTTAAAATAAGCTTCATTTTGCACATCTGGTATTGAATCTATTGATAACAATGAAGAGATGTCTAGATCCTACGTGACAAAGCAGTAACTGGTCATTTTGTAGCACCTGAAAGGGTTGTTACAATGTCAGAACTAAAAAAAAAAACAATACTGGTTCATATAAAATGGAAAATTGTTAAAACAATGAATGTGAATGTTAAAAACCCCACAAAACCTTACAGCGCCCCTCCGTACATACAGATAAAGACTGATAAAAGAGTTAGTTTGTTTCTCTTGGAGTATTACAAAAAACCTCATACATTTTTTTATGGAGCACAGAAAATAAGGTATGTTTGGAGCTACAGAGGGAGGGGACGTCACACTTCTTCACATCGGGCTCAGAGGTCAGAGATTACCACAAGGTTAAAATGGGACTTTCTGGGTGCGAGAAACCACTCCGGAGCGAGACCTGCTAATGTTAGCGTAGCGTGGTCGGATGCTCAATGTCTTTGGGGTCTTTTTTTTGTCAGTGGATCTGCAGGGCATGCATGGGATTGTGTCTTTAGAGCGCAAACAGTGGGCAAAGACTTTGAGTGAGCAAAGCAGGGTCAAACTCGTACTCTAATAGGTGACTTGAATACACAGAGTAATTCATTCATATGAGACTGTAACCAGGGAGTGCTGGTTCCAATCCTGGGTAAAGGCTAATCAAATTTGACAGGGCATGGGTGGACAACTCTTGGAGAACCAACCATGCAGGGAGAGGGCTAAACCTTCAGATTACAACAACTGATGTCAGTGCATAAAGGAAACACTATGAGGGACAGGGTGAGATACGTTCCATTCCTCCCATGCCATAAAGCATGTTACACTTTTTATCCAAACATAATGGTGCTGTAACACTGAAAAAAACATGTCCACTTCTCTCTATAACTGAGATGTAGAATCTGTCATAATCTTAGTAAAGTTAATATTTGTTGAATTCAGATTGTGCGCAACAATGAAACAATATTGGTTAGGGGAAGATGAGGGAGACAGCTAAAACATGCAGAGTTCTACGTCCTTCGTACAAAACCAGGTGTGCTTTTCTAACCCTGTTCTGAAGATCTGCCTGCTGATTGGGATGTGTGACAAAATAACTGTCTCCATTTAAAGGTATTGTTTGTTTCAGTTGTCGCTATGGCTTCTCTTTTGCACCTGACAGAGGGGTATTAATTAGTCAACCTGAAATTGTCCATATGCTAATAAAAAGAGCACTATCGTGTAACACCTTATCTGTGGTTTTTGTCTGGTTTCCTTTTATGCACTTTGATACAACTTATATTAAAATATTGAGAGTGGAAAATGAGAACATACTAAAGCCCTCATAGACACTATTGTGCTTTTATAAAGTATGTTTGAATAATTACTACAACACCTGATACCAAATCATGGATAACAGAAGTCTTTTAAGTGTCTTCTGGCTACTCTGCCTTGCTGCTGTTATATACAAGGGCTACAGACTGTGGAGGTTTATTGTTAGGATTTGAAAGCGGTTTGCAGATTGAAGGTGTGGCTGGTTCAGTGCTGAATTACAGTAAAAAAAAATGTAGAAGCACCAACATGTTTGGCACTGATACACTTGCACTCATGCGTGCCCATAATATGAGGTGTTGTGTCAGTGTGTGTGTGTGTGTGTGTGTGTGCCGCCGGCATTGAGTTCAGACTGTCTGGGTTCAGTCAGGCGCTCCTGTCATGCTGAAGAGATGGACCAAAAGATGTGAAAACACAGTGCTACAAAAGACTGACAGACAGTCAGCATGGTGAGAACCGGTATAGAGCCAAGACCAAAGGAAAAAAAGAGACAGTAGTGATTAAAAAAAGACAATTCACTGTAGAGATTTATCACTGAACAGCCTCAATATCAAACACATGTAACGCCAACAGCCAATCATGTTTTACTATCACGGGTGAAAATTAAAAATGTATAGAGGTGGATTCAGAATTCTTAGTATTGATCACAATGCACCATGTGGCCAAACAAACCGTTGTGGACAGAGAAATCTTATAAAGACCAAAGACATTAAATAAACATGAATGATGAAGTCACTGAAATAAGCATAGATTAATGCCAAACCCAATAACCACAACTCCAAATTCTCCCTATGATGCACTAATAATCCTTTACTCCAGGCATCACAAGGCAAAGAACATGGCCAAACGCCTGCTTCGATTCACTCTGTAGATTCAAACCAGTTCATATACTTGTACAATGTTTGTTATTGCTATAGTCCTCATCAATATCCCAGATAGAGTCCCATGAACCATCCTGATATCGTCACTGTGAATTCACTCTCATACAGTTGCAGTTACTTTTCTGCGGGGGCACCAGCCCAGGGACCCTGGTATGACCAGTAAATCCCGTTGTTGTCTTTGGTTGTGGGTTAAACTGAGAGGAGTTGAATTTGTCACCTAAATGTTTGTTAATCCAGATTATTGTTTTTTAAAGTCTGTGTCATCTTCTCTTTTTTTTATATAAATATGCAGGGAGACATAAACAAAACGACAAACAACATTAATGGGAATAATGAAATCCAACACAGTTCATCTGGGCCTGGAAATGGGGTTTAAACTGGTGGCTCAAATCCAGCAGGTATCCTCTGATTGGGTGGCAGTGCACTGGAGTTAGTAAGGTTGGGGGACCAAAGATGAGATATGATACAAATCCTGAAATGGCCGATGTTGGTTCTGTTGAAATTTGAGTTGTATGTTTGATATTTTTCTGTGCTCTCTCTTCCCATCGCTCCTCCCCCCCTTGCCCCCTTCGCTTGTGTGCAGAGGGTGAGTAAAGAACGGGCTCCGTGGTGCTGTACGGCAAAAAGTTTGACAGCATTTCTCAGTCTGTCCTGTGAAATCGACTCTTATCAGAGCCCAGCTAGCGTGTAACTGTCCAGCTGAGCTGTGATAGAGGGCTGTAATAAAGAAGTGGTGAGATGGATGGAGGCCGGGATTTAGGGAGGAGGGAGGCTCATGTTCAGTCCGCCAGTCCGTTCAGGGCAGGGTTTTTGTAGGGGCCTTAAGGATGAGGTTGTTGGTTGTCGATGGGTAGTAGTGAGGGACAGTGGAGAGGCAGTAGGAGAGGGCAATGGGACTTTTCTGGGCCCTATAGGAAGGTCTCAGACCAAGGTTCCAGGTTTGGCCTTATCGTGTCCGTACCACTGCACATCTGCCAACTCTGAACACAGGGGGCTGCTGAGAAAACAGCTGTCACTGAAAGACCTGCAGAAGAAGACACATGGCCTGGATAAGACTGACTTCTGAGAAAAGTGTTTTATTCCAATAAATAAATAAATTCCAATAAATATTCCAAATACTATCATCTTCATCATATTTATCTGTCTCTCTGTTCATCTGCTCCTGAGATTGTTTGTTTGTTAAACAATGTTCTCTGTTACAACACATACAGCAGATGGTTAAGTATTTTCTATTAGTAAATCCTGTAAGGAATTAGCCACAGTGTCAGTATCAGACCACAGAGCAGAGCACATGCAGAGATCACATACAGATACAGCCAGGGAAAGAGTACATGACACAGATTCCTCCACCATCAAAGAACAAGATTGAAACTGTCCCCATTCCCCATTGTCAGTCCCCCACAGTTGATTATGTAAGTGACTAGTAAATATGTTGCATAATCATTTCATAATTGTGTACAGGCAGATTTCTATGAATAAAAGCCGGATTGTGAGTGAATTTGGCACTGCTGTTATAGATTATATTTTTGCTTTAAGGTTGTTTTTCTCTCTGTTATGCTGCTGCTGCTGTGTTTTTCCAACAGTACACTGCAGGTATAGACCATTGGGAGGCCGAGACCACAGACAGTACCTCTATGCATCAGAGCTGGGCTGAGGGGGAGACTGACAGACGTCCTCAGTAGGAGAGCTGTCTGCTGTGCCTCTAAACCAGGAGAGAGGACACACACACAAGGAAAGGAGGGTTAGTACAGACAGAAAGAGAGATGAGAAAGAGATGACAAATATTAGGTAGTGAGAGAGTTTTTTCCAGGAAGAAAAGGTGATCAGAGGGGGCGAGAGATGACAGGCAGAACAGAGAAAAAAAAAAGAATAAAATAGGAATAAATAAGGAACAACGATGCAGTGAAGGAAACACAAACAGCAGAACAGGATGAAGTCAAAAAGAGTGACATCATTTGATTATGAGTATGAAAAAAGGTTTAAAAATAGAACCCAAAACCACATAAAAATCATTCTTTAGGATTAGTTCAACAGTGAAAAACAATATCAGCTGAAACAGATACAACAGACAGTCAAAGCTTGTGAGGATGTTAGAGTGAGCTTTGGATAAAGATTGAGAGAAAGAAGCTGAGTAGCCAAGATTTGTCCCATATTAACGTAAATTCTTATCTGGCTTCAAACATCTTGTCACCCTGATCTGCTGCCACGTGTGTTGGTGTGTCTCTTACCCGCTCTGCCAGTTGAGGATGTGCTGTGGGCTACAGGGGGGTGTGGGTGTGGCTGCGTGTTCGCTGGAGGGCGTCATACTCCTCTGGCTGTGAGGGGATGCAGCTATGGGTAAAACTGACAGTTAGTCATGCTAAATGAGATACAGCACATGCAGTATGAGCAACCATATACACATATACAGAGAAGTGTGGAGAAAACACACACATGTGAAGGGTAAAGGAGTTTCAACTATGCTTCACATATGGGGTTTGGGGTGTGTAGCCTCAGTGTCACAAAGACCATTTGCCTCAGGGGTCATGTGACACAAAAGTCACATCACAAAAAACTCAACTCAACTAGTGTTCTCAGCAGTGGCCCCCTTAGAAATGTTGAAACTGAATGGGGCAACTGAAGATCTTGGGGTGGCACACCAAAACCAAAAGAAGGGAGGGTCCAAAGCGGCTGGCTAGCTGTGCACTTGTTATTTAATTTCATGTTAACCATTATGAAAAGTATACTTTATTTGAATGAATGATCATGTAAAATATCCTGACCATGTCATTGGTTCTCACTTCTTGTTAGAACATCTGAAAACACACATCAATCTGCCCCACATGCTTCATTGGTGCAGTATGTTGGTTATATACACTGAAGGTTGTCAGTTTAAGCTTTACATGGGGTATTACTTTTTTCTATATTTGCACTCAAAAAGTTTAAGTTCAAATGTATTAATCTCAGAAGCCTGTAGAGTCACTAAATGCCTCATTTGTGCAGCAGGCGCTCTGTCTCATAATCTGAAAGTTGTGAGTTTGAGCCTCATACTGGACCTTTGTAAGGACCTTTCAATAAACTAACTGTTTGTTTACCTAAATAAACAACGACAGTCTGAGACTTTTATCTAACACGTGATGATACTCTAACTCATATGAGACTGGGTTTAATGTGAACAAACGAAGAAGACTCACCTGGTGAGCCCTTGGCGAGTGTTCCTACTCTACTCCCTCGACCATGTCCCAGGGTACCTTGCTGTGACCCTGTCTCGGAGGAAGTAGATCCCGAATGTGAGTGACTCCTCTCTTTCAGGCTCCCTGAGGACCTCTGGTACCAGCACCGCAGCTCTTCAGACACTGCCGCCCTCCCCCCTCCTCCGCCTCCACCACCCTCTCTCCCCAATGACGGAGTCCGTACAATTTGAGAGCGTGACGGCGTGAGTCGGCCGCTCCCCTCTCCTCCTTCCTCTCCACCCCAGGCCTCCTTGTACAGTCCCCCGGCCGTGTAGGAGCTGGAGGTCTTGAACTGGGCCTTCACGCTGTAGTGGCCCTCCTGATCGCTCTCCAGGCTGCGCACCACCACGGGGTTGGGGCTGCCCTCTACGTATAGCGGGTACTCCTTAATACGGTACTGGGAGGAGGGCTGGCTCTGGCTGTGGAGGTACACTCCATGATGTCCTCCTCCCACCCCACCTCCACCTGAGCCTCCACCTGAGCCGTTCTTAGCAGCCAGGTTTGGCATGGAGCCGGAGTTAGAGGAACCCAGGTGACCTGCAGACCTGAAAAAAGAAAGGACAACACATACATCAGTCTCATTACAGGACAGTTCATTTCTTTATATATAGTACATACTGCCAAAAGGTTTTGTAAAGAAAGCCCAGCATTACCTGTGTCTTTGCCTCTGCCTCTGCCTGGCTTTGGAGGGTGAGTCCTCTCCCAGAGTAGAGTAGTTGGGGTTGCTTCCAGGGGGTCCACCAGCGGGATAGTAATGCTCTGAGCTGCTTTGGCTGGTGCAGGATGAGCAGTCGTCCAGTGGGTCAGAGCCATTGGAGCTGCGTCCTGGGCCCAGGAAGAAGTCAGGGCTGCCCAGTGTGCCCAGGGTGTGCGGGTGTGCATCGGGGTCGGACGCCAACAGTTTGCCCTGGGACTCAAGGCTTGAGCTGCGGTTCCTAAAGTGCTGAGCGAGACTGTGCAGACGTGTGGGACTGATGTCCACTGACCTGTAAGAAAAAATTTACAAGTTAAAGTTAAATATGGAATTTTTATAGTACCATATAATCTGTAATTTGAAGGAACCAGTTAACAATTGAAGGTATAAAGACAGACCTAGTGGAATGTACGTAATGTGGAGTCCTGGTCCTCAGGTCTGGGGTCGACGGCATGCTGGACTGAGAATTCCAGTGAGGGAGGCTCCTGATGGGGCTGCTCTGCAGAGAGTTACTACCCCCTGCCTCTGCACTGCCAGAGCTTGGGAAACGCCTGTGACTTGACAAAGAGGCAAGGAAAATAAGCAAAATGTATAATCAGTTTTAGTACATATATACTCCTTTCACATGGGCAACCTATGTATGATGCCCTCTACTGAACATTTGGTCAACCCACATGAGGCTTGAGGCACTATTGCAAGGCTGCTGCCACAATTTTGATTAGATTAGTTACATTTGAGATGACTAAACACTACCTTAAATGCACCTGCGGTTGTTTGAAGGATCAGTGTGTAGGATTTAATGGCATCTAGTGCGTCAGAGAAACTATCAAGGTCTTGAAACCCACAAAACACTTGACAGGCCCTATCTACAGCCATTGTTTTGTTTGTCTGTTCTGGTCTACTGTAGAAACACAGTGGTTGAATATGGCGGCCTCCGGGGAAGAGGACCTGCTATCACTGTAGATAAAAATTGCTCATTCTAAGGTAGCGAAAGGACAACGATCCTCCTAAATGTTACATACTGAACCTTTAACACTTAATCAAAATAATTCTGACCAGCCTCACACATACACGTCAACATACAGTAGCTCTATTCTAAAGGGCTAGTTAGGAATACTGCCTCATACCTGGAGTGAGAGGAGCGTTTCTTGACTTTTTCGTAGGGCTCATCCAGTGACGATTCACTCCACATCTTGGGTTTGATGGGTGATTTATCGTAGTCAGAGCGTGTGTAGTGCAGGTGTCGCAGGCCATCCAGGGACTGCGGTGGAGGGGGCCGACTGTGAGATGGTGGTCGAGGAGGGAGGCCCTTGTGAGGCGATGCTACTGGAGAGAAGGTGGGGGTACCTGTAACTTGAGGATCATCTGAAATAGAGTAATAATTAGATTAAGTTAGAGGCATTGAGATAGGACATTTAATAAAATCATTATCATGAGCCATGACTAATGTGAAAGATAGAGACTCACCATCATCCAAGACCAGTGCGTCGGACAATGAACTGTCTTCAGAACCAATATTGGCCTCTACGGGACAGAGAAACAAAGACAACAGATTCAGGATCATGCAATTATAACAAATCTTACAAATCTTTAATCTTTAAAAAAACATTGGAACATGTCAATTTTGCTATGTGTGGACTCTAAACAGTACTTGTGAGCAATACTGCTGTGTCTGGTGGCAACCACAGCAAATAGAAATAAAGAGATAAGAGGAGGATATTAGTACCCTCTATGATAAGCGACGCCCTCTGTGTAGGCTTCTTGCCAGAGCGGACCCGGTACTCATTGATAGAGTTCTCAATTTCCTGGAGCTTCTTCAGTGCGTTCAGATAAGAAGTCTTCCTCTGTTTCTTCAGCTTCTTACTGCTCACGTGAGGATCACTGGCAAGACGCCTGGCTGCCTCTGTAATCTGGGACTGAATGGCAAACTCCCGTTCCAAACGCTCCAATTCCTCTTCCTGGGATAAGAACACACACATACACAAAACATGAGTGCAAACTCTGAGTAACACAAGCACAACGATACTGGATTGGCTCACAGTTTTAGCAACAGAAATCTATGCACAATCCAAAAACAACAAGGTTCAGTTTGCAGACACGTATTCAGACTGTAACTCTCCCATGCAACGTATTTGGTTAGAGACACACACAAAGCATTGCCAGAGAAAACACACTGAGGAAATCATTTATCTGTGCTGCAGCCCTGCTTTTTCGCACCAATGGATATTTACTATTGAGAAACTCAGTCCCCCAATAATAACACCTCTCCATCAATCCATCGTCCCCTACTGTTCAGTTCTCCTGAGAGTTGTGGAGCAGAGACTATTAGATGAACCAAGTAAAACATACTATGTCATGCCGCAAATGTACTGCATGTATGTTTACTATACCGCAAAGTGTATAATCTAGATACTACAGTATTTGGTGTAGTATAGTATAGTAAAGTATAGTATAGTGTAAACTTGTGAACTGAATTTATATATAAGAAAATAAATTCAAGTCAATCCTGTGACACACACTGAACAATTAATTGACATATTAAGTGCAATATCTAAAATCACAGAAGCTGCAATTTTTGGAAAAAGGTCAAATGTGTGGCAAAGCAGCATTATAATGATGGATGTAGTGCTCCAGAGATGCCATCTTATTTCTTCTTCTTATTCTAAAACATCACATCATCATGATTTTAATAGATTTTTCAGTGAAAAATAAAATTGGAATGCGAAAAGGCTCATTGCCCCAAATCGTGTATCATATCGCAATCCCATACCATTTATTTTAACCATACTGTGCAGCCCTACACACACTGTGTACCACAAGCATGTAATGAGTGCACTTACATATGTGAGAACACATGCATGATTTCACTTGCCTCCAGAGACAGAACGATGATGTATTCGCTTGGGTCAACATCTTACTGGACTACCTCAGTTCTGAGGAATCCCTCTCTCTAACAATCCCTTCACACTACCACCAGAGCTGCTTCTGTATCTGTGTGTGTGTGTGTGTGTGTGTGTGTAGGAGTTTAAGGTGTTCAGTCTAAATTAAGAAAAGATATTTCTGCTTGCAAAGCAGTTTTGTGATATTGTGTCCCTGGATTATTTTCAAAGAATACAACCTCAGCGACACACACCCTTACACACAGGCCTGCACACTTACAGGCGTGCACACAATCCTACTATCACCACTTCCTGTGGTGAGAATGCTGCCAGACTATTTTTAGAAGTTCTGCTGCTCTGGAAAATCTACCCGTGGCACAAAAAGACAGCGAGGCAAAGATGCAGTACAACTACTTTTACAAGGTCCAAGACGTCTCAGACTGTGGCTTTCCACTGGTCTCTGTTTCCTTTGCTCAAATAGGTTATAACTTATCATTATCTCAATTGTCATTCCCACTATTATGTGAGTATTAAGTATTTGGTTTTAAATTAGGTTAATAACCCTTGATATGCATTGTATAAACACCAGTTTTGATCTACAATGCCCATACTGTCCATAATGAACATTACAACTGGGTTTAACACTCTTAGCACTGCATTTGACAGGTATTATGTATTTGTTTCAAACACTGACACCACTAGATTTTACATGATGATCTTCACTTCCAGAAGCACGTATCTAATATCTCCAAGACCGCCTTTTAAATCAACTAAAATACCTGGTGCATTAAATGCGCTATGAAGTTGACTAGAAGTTGATTTGTTTTGGAGTGTGATAAAATGCTACTGAGGAAAACAGGGAGTTGGAGCTTCACCTCTCCCTTAGGAAGAATTTTCTGCTCATCCAGTTTAAAGGCGGTACCAATCTTCCGTCTCACTGTGGGCGGCTCCTCTCCTGGATCCAAAGGATATTCCTTAGGTAGCTTTCCTGTCAGCTCCTAGGAAAGAAGGGGGACAAAAGGGGACAAGGAAATAAATTAAGTTAGAAAAGAAGAGCTGAAGAGTTTTATGGTTTTCAAAATATTTGCCAAATTAGCCTGTGTTTTCTCATACCGCCTCTCTGATACAGATGCTCTTAAGTTCCTCTAGTCTCTGTCTTAGTGTTTCCTCCAGTGCATCCTGCCTGGCCCTCAGTGCTGCCAGCATGTCCTTCTTAGCTGTCTGGGAGCTGTCCGATTCCTGAGAGCCTGCAGGTTACAGACAACACATAACATGAACACAGGAGTCAGGCATGTGTGTGTGTATGTGTGTGTGTGTGCCTGTGTGTTTGGAGTGTGTGTGTTTGCGGCAGATTGTGGAGACGAGGTAGAAATTGTGTGTGCACCTGCTAGCTTCACAGGATGTTTACAGGGAAGTGAATGGAACGTTTTGATAAGGGAACAGAGTTTGGTGTGTTTGTGCGAGTCTTTCAAGGAAGGGGCAGTTTAGGACAAAGTCTGTGACGCACAATCTCAGAGGCCCTGAGATGCCAGTCTTGTTTGCAACATGCCTTGTTGAAAACAACACATACACTCCCCCCACACGCACATTCTCTCTCTGTGTTGCTCTCTCAATGACGATATGTGGTTCACGGTGAAACATAACAAACAATATGAAACTAACCAATGCGACAGTTGTGTCAGAGAGTATTTCTAAATGTCTTTCTATTGATACAAGATATACTTTATTTAAAGTCAGTGTTTCTGCATCTATTGTTTTGCAGGTACAGCCATATTTCTGTAGCGCCTCATTTGCAGCCATGAAGGGTTTCAAATTGATCAGACAAACTCTTATGATCTAGATCTGGCTATTTGGACAACCACAGTCAGACAGAGATGTGCTGGCTGTGGCAGAGATCGGAGGTGCATAGATGTGACATCACAGCTCCTGTGGGGGGCGACTTGAGAAGAACAAAGAGAAAATGGTAGATTAGGAGGCTAGGAATGGATATCTGAGGACATAAAGGTAAGGGATTGGGGAGGGAGCGGGGTGATAGATGCATCTATACCTGATCAGTAAGATGAGCTTTGGAGAGATCAAAATAAGGAGAGCATGCAGGACATTATTACTGAAAGAGAATAGTGTTCTTCTTTCCTGAAACCACTAATTGATTCAGCAGGGTTTGCTATCCTCTAAATAGTGGACACATGCTTGCCTCATAAATGATGCTGGTTTGGTCAAGTGCATGCCATTTTATTAGTGAATAATTCAGCAGTAGCTTACCAGGTTACAGTACATGTGTTTCTATTCAGCCCAATTACTGCACCCGCTTTCTGATTCACTTTACATGGCTGTCTGGGTTTCAAAGGGCATTTTGCTCTTAATTCTAAATTTGGTTCATGTACAAATCTTCCTGACACGCTTTTTACTTGTAACAGCACAGATAAGCATTGTTTTAAATGCTGTGGCAAAGTTGTACACTGACCCGCTGCCCTTTTAATTCCCTCACCCACTAAATTTAGAGGGGGCTGGGGCCTCTGGAGGATGAGTCTGTGTGACATGGAGGGTGGGAGTGGTGTTCTATACATACAGAAAGACATTGGGTGGGGTGTGTGTTTAGTGTGTGTGAGAGAACATTCAGCACAGAATCAATGGCCTCTTTCCTGAAGCAGCTGTTTCTGTCTCTCCAGTTGTCAACGAGACTCCCCCTCACCATCACACACGCAAACACAAAGACAAATACACACACATATCGACGTTTCTCTCCCCCATAGTCTCGCAAGCCCGCTCACACACACACACACACACACACACTGACCATGTACTTACCAGAGGAAAGCAGACTGCCACTGCTGCCACTTATAATTTTGCCCTTGCTGCCCATGTTGGCCAGTTTGGAGGTCTTCAGAGTTCCTGTTTCTGTAAGGTCTATAGCAATCTCACTCAAACTCCGTGCTGCATGGATCTTAGACTGGACAGACAAAAATGGAGAGGCTCTGTCAAAGCACATCATTAAGCAGTTTAACTGTAACACACATCACTGATGCTTGCTGACTTTGCTGTATGTCTTGTACATTACTAACCACGCCTATGGCCTTGTGGTGCATTACTGACCTTGCTCTGCTTGCGGTCCAGGTAGAACTGGTGTTGGCTGATGGCCATGGCCCAGATGGACTTGATGAGGGCAGGACAGGCGTACCACGTGTGCACAGCGATGCCACTGTGACCAAACGTCCTTCTTGTCACCGACGCCCTACAGTTGGAGCGGACACAAGGCCTCCTTATATACACTGAATACAAAAAGATGACTGCATATTTACAACAGTGAAAACGTTCCCACCTGACTACTCCACCAACACAAATACCAGCAAAAAATATTGGAGGCTTAAGAGAGCAGACCCGATAGAGACTTTTCTTTTTTTTGCAAAGCCACACACGTTGTTCCCTATTGTTTACTCATCCTTATTTAAACACACATCTGTAGCTGAGCAACAGACCAGCTCACCCTAATGACAGCTTCCTTTAAAGAAAACACCACTGCTCTCTGTTTCACCCTGTCTGTCTTTTTCTCCCATTCACTCCCTCCCTCCCTCTCTCTGTCTGTAGAATAACACTCCAAATATATAGCCATGTTAAATAAACACAAGAGAGGTCACTTCCTCCACAAAACAGCTATCACGTAGCCATCTATCCTTCTGTGGTCAACTATCAAGGGTTTACTCAGTGTGTGTATGTGTGTGTGTGTGTTTGTGTGTGAAAGAGCACATGTGTTTGTGCATGTGGCTCCACAAGTGGGTTAACAATCTGCCTATCAATCTGTGTCAGGCTCCACCGGGACATCCCCAATATCTTGCTCTATTGCCAAGACAAATGCTGCAACCATTACTGAATTAGATTCCGATCTCTCCTTTCCTGCCTTTTCCTGCACTGTACCGCATGTAGTATGAATCTTAACACATTCACATATGGCACAGAGGTAATTTACAGTAAAAGCTACTGGAATATGTCCATAACTGAAGAAAGGTCTACCTCTTCCAAATAGTAGCTGGACAAAATTCAATAGCAATAACATTCAATCACTCAAGGGGAACTGGTATGAGATTATGATCATCAAACCAATAAGTCAATCATGCAATTCAACACTAAGTTACCTTTAAAAAACAACAACAAATAATTAAACAGTTTCAACAAAAGCACTGCAGCAAATTGACACCGGCTTAAAATTGTGATATAAATTTACCTCCTGGGGTCATGAACTTCTACTGAAAACTTCTTCTCTCTGAAGTAGAGATTCTCCAACTGACGCCATTGGAACACCTGAGGTTCAGGAGAAACACACACTCTTCAGGGCTACTCACACAAAAACATGCTTCACATTAAATCCACACAGCCTTCAGCCAAATCCTCTTCTCCCTTCTCCGTATGTTCCAATTTGTTGTTGTAGAGAAAATGCAATGGATAAAGAGGAAGAGGAGAGAAAAAAAATGAAGAAGCTGCCGAAGAGGAGGAGTTAGGAAGAGAGAGGGAGGTGGAGGGAGAGAAGAGAACCTAGTCTGGAGCTCTGATCAGGTCCAGACCAGGCGGTCTTGTCCGCAGTGGATCCCTTCGCTGGATGACCTCACTCTGAAGAAAGACAGTGAGAGGGAGGAGGCTTTCTTTCCTCTGCTCAACTTTTCTTTTTCGTCTCCTTTATGAACCATCAGCTCCTCTTTAAATGTAGCCAAAGCCAGCTGGGCGAAAAAGTTTCCCCCAAGACGTACTCCATAGCATGTGTGTATCTTGAATCCTCCCAGACGCAGGGGAACAGAATGTTAAAGAGTTGGTGGGTGTTCACCATCTGTAGGCATGTGCATGTGTGTGTTGGTGGAGAGAAAGTGTTAAGTTAACTTTCCTCCTCTCGTGTAGCTTTGCGAGAAGGGCTGTGGAAGGGGGGGGGAGTTTATGCCTCCCCTACTCCTGACCCCTCCTCCCTCCCTCAGGGACTGTGCTTCCTGCTCTGGGCTATGTGGTTGGGAGGTGTGTGTGTGTGTGTGGTGTGTGTGTGTGTGTGTGTGTGGTTGTGTGGTTAACAAGGGTCATGGAGGAGTGATGAAGGTGTGGAAAGAAGCCCTTTCTGTGGCCCCAGCAATTGAAGTGCCCTTGCTTTGTTTAGTCAGACCCTCTGTGTGCACCACATACACACACTTGCAAAGTCTGAGGTCTGTTCTTTGTTAGAGAAAGAGTGTGGGCTTATTTCAGAACAGAAGTGGGCCCACGTCTATCAGCTGGAGTAGATATGCCAACACACACACGGCACACACACACACAAACCTCGGGATGTACACTGACCAGCCATTAGTAAATATGAAGTAAAAAAAAAATAAACCTAAGCTGCAAGAACTGACAACAGAGAAAAGAACAAAGCAGAGAAGACCTAGCCATGACAGGATACGGGAGGAAAAGAGGAGAAAGGGAGCTAAGGGAGGAACAGGCCACAGCCCAGGAATTTTAACAGCCTGGGAAAACAATGGACAGAGGGACGAGGGGGAGGTGTGGGAGAAATATTATGAAAAAAGTAAACAGCCTAATGTATGTATTAATGTACTGTACATGTGTGTATGTGTGTGCATGAACAAAGAAAATCGCCGCTCTTATCAAAACTGTTGCTGTACCGTACATTTTCAATGGAGTGTGAAGTACTAATGTAGCATGGTGTTAAATATAGCGGAAGGGGTAGATAATGAGTGGGTGACTGTAACACTACTGAGTGTGTATGTGTGTGTGTTATCCACATATGGGTCAGAGCTGTGGAGATAAGATAGGTGTTTGTAACTGTGTTAAGGCACGAGACCACTAAAGCTGTCCTCCCCAACAGCAGGAAAGAGCTGCTGCAATTTTGGACTGTTTCAGGATAAGTTGCACATGTGCAAGTGTGCAAATAGTATTAAAATATATATTTAAACAGCAGTCACGTGATCTACAATGAGGTGCAATGAGTGTCACCCTCAAGTTTAAAATTAGACATTTTTGTTGTGATTCTGTGCTGTTTCAGGTACATAAGCCCATTGTATTAATGGAAGCTCTGTAGTCTTTATGGCCCTGTCAATAGTGCAACTTCGAATATCTGATAAAAAACATGCATGCAGTCGGTGGGTGCTTCTGTTCTTAGGGCAAGGGTGGTGCCTGTATGCATGCATATGCTATAAATCCTCTTCCTTTTGACTATAAAACACTCGCACACAATGGCACAGACACACACACACGCAGAGGAAGTGACTGGTCATTATTCATAAACAACTGGCTGCTCATGTGCACAGACCTACGTCTGTCTTATAATGATGTCTGTACACCCGAGCACACATCCATTTCAGATGAAAAGGTCAGATCTGATAGAGTGTAAAGGCCTTTCTTCGGTGTAGCGGACTCCGTGGGGATTACGGGAAGAATAGAAAGTTTAAATAGCACAGGCCAGTGTAACTGTAGTGAGGCCAGACATTATTCTTCTCTAGAACTGGACCCAGGGCTCTCAAAGACTATTGTTTCACCCATGGGTGGGGCTCTGGTGTGCAATACTATATCCACCAGTTGTCATGGAGATGCAGATACACTCTGGGGGCACTTCCTGTTGTTTGTGTTTTGGTTGTGGTGTTTTGGAGGGATGACATTTATGGAAAAACTAATCAGAACAGGCTGCATGAGCCTATTTGCTCTAAATGAAACACAGACAGAAGCTGACTTAAGTCAGTGGATGTGTGCTCTCAATCCACTTCGGAAAAAAACATCAACATGCAGTGACATGCTTGTGAGATGACATTAATTTAAACCATAGTTTGCTGTGTTTCATTGAACCTTCTTGCGGCATCTTTACAGTGTTTACAGAAGATTTAGCTTGAAGTCAGTCAGTCAGGCAGTCAGTCAAGACACAGACCCTATAATCTCTGCCTAAATGAGTTAGAACACTCTAATGAGGCATTAGTATGGTGTGTGGTACCCGTCTGTGTGTACTGTATGAGTGTCTGCAGGAGACCGGTAAGTAAGTATTTTAACATCCCCAAATAAACGCGGTGGGTGCGGTAGATGGTCTGCATTTAGACACAACAGGATCTACCCTCTTAAAAAGGCTAACTAATTAAACACAAATGCCTCCAGTACACACACACCTATTATACAGCACAACCTGAAGTCACTTAGTCACTTATTAATGAATAAAAAAGGTTTCTGTTGTGAACATAAAACATTTTTACTATGACAAAAGATGGTAATTGGCCCAAAATGCCTCATAATTAGTGTTCTGCCTACACCTCCCTGAGTCACAGTGATGAAAACTTGAGCACGGATAAGCTAGTGATTACACTCTGTGAGTCACTTGTTACTGGTACTGGACCAGCTGGATGATTGACTAATCACAAAATATACTGCTCTTCCTCTTGTTTGTTGAAGTAGCGATGAGTCTCAGTATACATATGGAAAGCTCCTAGTGACCTCTATGAGTGTCTCTTCCTGTGAGACACTTAACAGCTTTGGAAAGGAGCACCACCCACCTTCCTTTGTCTGCCTTAAAAAAAAGAAACCTTACTGTGTCCAGTGGGCTTTTAGTTAGTCTTGTGATGTTGCATTAACAAGACGTGCAGTCCACAAGTCTTTTTTTGGGTCAAGCTTCTTAGACTACTATCACACTTGCACAGTGAAAAAGGCCTAGTCTTACTTTCTCTGCTTCCAACTGTGTGTGTGTTACAGTCGGGGAGAAAGAAGGAGAGGGAGAGAGGGAGACATGGGAAGAAAGCGAGGGGGTCAGTACTGAAGATTAACGGAACGATGACTCACACCGACTGTTGCTATGGCAGCTGAATGCTTGATAAGTCTCTTTTGTAGAAAGGCTATTAACTCTTTCTTCTCTCCACCTCACTCTAAAATACCCTCTCCTTCTTCTTTCTTGTGGCATTTACCTCAGAGAACACTCAAACTTGCGGTTTTTCACTCTGTCAATATACACTGTGTAGTTAAAAAACACACGCTTGCCGCATGTTTTGGCGTTTGTGTATCTGTCAGATGTGCGTTTGCCTTTTTCACCTAAGCGGTTACAAAAGGGAATGAGGCAGGGAATGGGCTCAGTAGTGGGACATTTACACTGGAATGCACTAATCAAGACAGACACACACACACACACACACACACAATGAGCACAATGCTAGTGGCAAACAGGAAACCTGTGGCATACAGGAAGTACTCATCAGGAAAGTGAGTTCAGAGTTCAGTCTAATTCCTGTGTGTGGGCGTGTACATTTATAAGCGTTTGTGCATTTACGAGCAACAGAGTTATCAGTGTACGTGTGTGTGAGTGTCTTGGGGGGTCAGTCAGTATGCTGGGATGCTGTTAACTCCATTAACACCCAATGAGACAAGGGTGAATGCCAGAGATCAAGGCCCTAAACATGACTGGAGGTCAGAGGTGAGGTGAGAAAGGCTTTGACAGACAATCCACTGGGTTCAGCGACAGGGAGGAGGACGCCATTCACAGAAAGGCAGAAATAAAAGCAGGACAGGATGCAAAACATTCCAAGACTGAATGTCTCCAGACAGTGGTATTTGTACAGCATTGTTAGTGCTTTTTCCAAACACAATATCCTGACTCACTGAATGGAAAAAAAAGGACGGTGACCATGGAAACAAGCCCAGAAAGATAGACAGAAGACGTTTCCCTTCTTAAGTGATGTGTAATTTCTATTAACTAACCACTCTTTTTTAAAACAAACAATGCATGAATGATGCGGCAAATATTAGAAGATATCTTGGAGGTTATACATTTTACACAGAAGCAGAACAATGTGTTAACAAGGCTTTCTGATAAATTACAACCATTTGCAGTTTTGAAAATTACACAAATTCTACTACTACTCAACTAAAGCTCATTGAAAGAGGGACAGTTTAGTTTGTGGTGGAAACAGATCAGAGGGAGTACCATCTCACCTTCCTGGGTTTGACTTTGTCCTGGTGGTCATACTGAAAGATGCCTTTATAGCTCAGACCCAACCACCATGGGATCCCCTGCTTGTCCTAAAACACAGACAAAATATGCCTCAGGAAAGGTTGTACATGTGTGTGAGATTGATAGAGACAGAAAGACAGTAGAAAGTACAAATAGCTTTAAGCTCTATCATATCTCCAAATCCCAAACTGCCTGCTTGCAGGTCCAGAGTGAACAAAAATGTGTGTGGTGCGTGTGTGTGTGTGTGTGTGTGTGTGTGTGTGTGAAAAAACAAAAAGGCAGAGTAGTAAAACTGTACCTTTACAGCATAGTAATGTACTCCATATGTGGGCAGAGACTCTACAATGCTCATATAACTGTGAGGAGCAGAAAGAAAGACATGCAAGGGTTACAGAGAACACAGCCTTCCATACAGTGGACAAACATGACCAGAGATACATACATACACTTACTTTACAATAGCTTGCCCTCTGGACTGCCCATTGAGCTTCTTGTAATGCTCTATGACCCGCTCTTCACTGTAAGACAGCAAATAAAGAAAGGAACAATTATTAAGACGGAGAAAAACAAGAAGAGGAGAGCTTGGGCAATGTTGCAGCAGCTATTCTCACCAGTAGGCCAGAGATGGGTGCTCCTTTAGGGCCTGGGTGGGCAGAGCAGGCAGCTTTTTCAGGTCAGACCTGGTTGCATCATTACTGGGAGGGAGAAACCACAAGACATGGTCACAACTGCTTTCTGCGAGAACAACTATTCCCTGCTGTTGGCTTATACGTTCAAAAACTGGTAGAAAAAAAAAACGCTTAAAATCTGAATATTTCCTAGAACTGTCTTAGAAATTAAATGTTAACTTTGGAAAAATGGTGGGAAAGGAGCAATGTTTAGTCGAGAGAGAGGGATGAATGCTGATGGCCTAAAAGCTCCCTATTTCAGAGGCAGGGTGCTGTCTCAGAACAGCTGCAGGGACTGCAGTACACTTGGAAACAGAAGAGAAAAGAGGGACAGAAACACAGACACAAACACGATAAGATTAAGAAAGATAAAAAGACATAAAAACAGGGGTGGCGGAGGAAATGTAAAGACAAAGACAGAGTAAATGAGAAGAGAACCACGCAGAGAGCCAGAGAGACTTGGCCCCAGATTCAGTTTTCAGACCTCCAGTGGCAGGAGGTCGTAATATCCCACTTTAATCCCCTAGCCTCTCTCCAGCCTCTGCCAAGGCTCCAGAGGATTGGGGAAAGCCCTGGGAACATGACAACCTATGAGCTAAAGCCCTGGAAGAGATCCCATCCATCCTGTCCGGCTGTTCTTCAATGTGTGAACGCATCTGTGTGTCTGGACTGGTCGATATCCATTCAAGTAACTACTCTATTAGCTACTAATGTATATGAGACTGTATGCACAACTATGGCATCGCAAAGGGCAGTCAAGAGTTCTCCGTGCACTGTGGCTTTGCGATGTGTTCATTTCACGACGTACTTAATCATTTATATTCTTAAAACCTCTAAAATCATAAAAAGAAGGCAATCAGAATAAGACTCATAAGGCTTATTCCACTAGCGTCAAGAAAATGACTCTTGGAAATTCTTGGAATAAATATATTTGTATTCGACAATGGAAATATTACACACTTAAAAAAATGACATGATATATGTGCAGATGGGAGGGTCAATAGCGCTTTTAGGGATGCGAGGTATGTGTGTGTGGGTGGAAGGGGGGAGGTGGGTGAAAGGAATGTCTCCAGAGTGTGTCACATTCCAGCCCTCTGCAGGATATTGTGTTTATTTACTCCTTTCACCGGTGGAAATGAGGTCAGAGGTGACGGCTGCTGTAGTCTGTTATCTGTGCTACAACAAAGGGATGAGGGGATGAGAGGATGAGGGATGGCATACATTTAGGCCAATAACACACAGATGCGCATTTGAAGAGCCACATGTGGAACGTAACTCACGTGAAACTCTTGCATGACTGGAAAGTTCCATAGCTATGGGGTTTAACTACTGTGAGTTTCAAGACTGATATTTTTATTGTTGATAGCTGTTTCTTTTTTTGGTGACATTTAGGACATTTTTTAAGTCCCAATGGAGAGCCCTGTCTTAAATTGGAACGGAATGACTGTAATCATAGACAATAATAAAGATGTAATCCATGCTTTTCTTATGAGTGGCAGCATAGGCTAAAAAGAGTGAACCAAGGTGGAACAGAGATGGCAAGAAAGAAGAAGGCACGGATGTAAAACAAAGGCAGTTCTCAATGATGCACCTCAATGCTCAGGGGAGCAGAGGAGCAGACAGACCACTAGTATCAGTTCTACTGTCCCTTCTGAATCAAAATTCATTAACCCAACCCTACTGTCACTAGGGAAGAAACTTGGAATATGAGTTCACTTTTTCTTCTTTGGTTGCTAACATCTTCTGAATGACGTCTTAATGTTCTGATGTCAGCTGTGTGGCAGTATGTTGAGAAAGTCAGAAAGTGTTTTCCTCTACATATTCTCTTTAGTTACCAGGTGAAATATGTTTTTTTTTATAATCAACTCCATGATCTGTCCTCTAGCACTAGTAGCTACAACCTATACTTTCTTAAATGTACATTGCATAGAATTATTAAACGTTACTGGTGTGCTTACCTGGTGAAATCACCTTTCGCCTCCTGTGGAACAAAAAGGGAAATAAAAAAGTAATATGTGAGCATTGAGCAATGACCATAAAATGTGTGTTTATGTTCTGCTTGCATAGGTGAATGTGCAGTCAGGCGTGCTGTGCTGGAATCAGATAGAAACATTAAACCTCCATCTGGAGTGAAACCTCTAAAGGCCTACAGAGCAGATACCTGATACTGTACATCTGCACCTGCATAGAGGGCACACTCTCACACACACACAC